ACTGAGCAAAATAAAAAATAACTGAGCATTTTATATTATCCCTTTTTTAATTGTATCATACACAATTTTTTAGGTTTTTTTTGTACTTCCCTTCTGACCTAAAAACCAATATCCCACGGTTTGTTTTAATCTAATATTAGGCGTAATCATTGCAACTAAGGCAGTTCTCGCCTCAACTGGCTCGCGCGTGACTCCGTCGTCCACAACCCCTTTGAATTCATTTGCTGCTTTATCATAATGCATTTCAGGATTGAGACTAATCTCATCAAACAACACTGAGACAACTTTATTTGAAACAGGAGCATTTTTAAATGACTCTTGAATCAAGGACAAAATCTGCTCGTTAAAACCTGAATTAACAGGGCATCTTTTCTGATATTCCCTAAAGGTGGGGCCAGACTATGCGCGATTCATGGTTCGTGATTCGCGATTTGCTATTCGTATAAGATTCGTGAATAGTGTGTATAGGCAGATTCGTCGAATTCGCATCAACTGTTTACCATTCGCGCCGATTCGCCAGCGAAGCGCTTTTTCGATTCGTGGTTCGTGATTAGCGGTTCGCTATTCGTATAAGATTCGTGAATAGTGTGTATAGGCAGATTCGTCGAATTCGCATTCGCTGTTCACCATTCGCGCCGTTTCGCCAGCGGAGCGGTTTTTTGGCGAGATCAAAGAGCGTGAATCGCCACGAATGATCAATTCGTGTTGATTCGTGCGGTGTTCACACTGTGCATGTCTATTCGTATGTATCTTCGTGGTTCACGCTGAAAAGTCGATAGATTCGATTTACTCGATAGTCGATTAGAATTTAGGTTAGTTTGCTAGTTGCTGGCTAGCTGCAAGGATGGAAGCCGAATGGACAGAATGTCGCGTTCTTGCGCTTATAGAGGATATAAAGCAATATCCGTGCTTGTGGGATCCTAAAGACAAGGATTACAAAAGTAGAAATAGAAAATTTGATTGTTTAAAGATTTTAAGTGTTAAATATGAGTGCTCTCCTGTTGACATAAAGAAGAAATGGTCTAACCTTCTTCAATCGTATAGAGCATGTCGCCGTAAAATTAAATCTAGTAAAAAATCAGGAGCAGGACGAGATGACATTTACAAACCAACATGGTTTGCATTTGATCATATAAATTCATTTATGACAGACATGTATATTCCACATGGAACTTTAGATTCAATAGTAAGTATACCAATATATTTTTTAGATAAAATTTACGTTAACACTTTTAAACGTATAATTTAGCATGCATGAAATCTTAATAATTATAATTGATAGAATAAATAGTCTATCTGTCTCTACCATTAGCAGGGTTCGAAGAATATGTTGCAGAAAATAAAAACAATTAAAGTGAAAAAATACATTTTGTGTGTTACATTTTTATATATTGCTTGATTTTCAACTTGTTAAATATAATATAGAATTATTATGAAATAATAATGTTTAAGTAGAATTAATCATTTTGTCTTGCCACCCGACTTTGCCGTTTGTAACAAAGTATTCAGCAAACTCTTGACGCACAAGTTTTGCATTATTAGATGGCTTTCTGCCCTTTTTCTCCAAAGGTAAAAGAGAAGTCAATTCTGTAGTATCTTTTCTCCATAATCCTTCGATGACTTTACCATCCTTTTCGGTATCAAACGTTCCATTAGGCGCGTACATATCTTGAGAACTTTTGCTTCTTTTCAAAAAGTTATGCAATAGAACACAACATTCTGTAACAAGTGTTGCTCTTTCTGGGCTTAATAACATGGGTTTTCGTAGTACTCGGAAAACTGCTGACATAATTCCGAACACATTTTCTATGTATAATTCTTCGTGCCCGAGAATGTCTGTAGTTGTATGCTCTTTCTAGCGATATAGAATCATAACATCCAATAAAAGGAACCATAATGTTTTCTTTCAATGGAAACGCATTATCACCAAGAAAAACGTATGGAATATGTTTTCTTCTCATTGGCAGTGGTTCAGGTTCGGGCAAATTCAATGTACCATTTTCTAAATTCTTAAACAAAGAGGTATAACGGAATATACCTGCATCAGATATCCGTCCTTGACAACCTATATTACTATTTATTATACAGTAATCAGCATCACATAGCGCCATCAAAACGACACTAAATGTGCCTTTGTAATTATAGTATTCACTGCCACTGTGAACAGGTGATTGTATCACAATGTGTTTACCGTCAATTGAACCCAGGCAATGCGGAAAATTCCATTTTCTTTCAAAGTTTTGTGCTGTTTTTTTCCATTCATCGGATGTCGTAGGAATCTAAAAGAATAAATAAATAAATTGTGATTTTACTCTATCTATATAAAACATTGCTTTCAACTGTAATATATAATTTTATTGCATTATAAATGGCCTTTTTATATTGTAGAATCAAGAAAAAGACAGTGATGAGGAAAATAACGCTGAGATATTACAAAATGAAAACATTGAAACTAACGAAGTGGAAGTAATCGATATCGGTCAGACATCTACAAATATTAAACAGGAAGTAAAAGTTTTCTCGTCCCTGGAAGAATCGTCAAAGGTTAAAAAGAAGAAAAGACAAACACAAATTGATGAACGAATTGATGAAGCATATTCTTATCTAGCGGCAAAAAAAAGGAAAGAAGAAACATCAGAAAAACGACAGAAGGATGAATGTGATATTTTTGGAGAATTGATCGTTACTAAATTAAGGAAACTCGACGACTATACTCGACAATTAATTATGAACGACATAAACACTATAATGTTCCGAGCAACCATACAACCTACTCAGAATTTTCAACGTGATAATTTCACACAACCTAATACTTTTATTCAATCCCCGCTATCTCCCGTTTGTTCTTATTCAGTGCAATCTTCGCCAATTGTTTCATCCCAACCATCTCCTAATATTTCTTACACACCCCACCCATCTCCTAATACTTCTTACACACCCCAACCATCTCCTAACACTTCTTACACACCCCAACCATCTCCCAACTCTTCTTACACACCCCAACCATCTCCTAATACTTCTTACACACTCCAACCATCTACATCTGCTTCTCATACAGCGACTTAAAAAATAATCGCAACGAATTGTTTCCACGTACAATACTCTTTCAAAAGTTAAACAAAGAAATTCTTCATTTATATTCAGGATAAATATTCTAAAAAATCTTTTTATTTCTTTTGCAGATTTGATATTTTACATTAAAACTGGTTTAATTGACCGAAAATAAATAGTATAGTTTCCTTTTTTGTGTTTTCTTTCGTGTTTCGTTCTTTTTCACTTTTCAAAACATCCTACATTTTATATAACAAGAAAGATACGATAATGAAAATATAGTGAAATAATATTAATTTTATAATAAGAATTATTTTATATCTAAGTTTAATTTTATGTTATTTCATGAATTCTTTATTTACTACTTTAAATAATTTTATATGATAAGTATGAATTACATAAAACGCGGTTAAAATGTAATTTTGTTAACAATGTATCTGTAATGTACCTACATGTAAAATGAAAAATGTAATAGTAACATTTAAGGCGTCATTATTAATGTTTTATTAAGTAATTACATTATAATTGGAATAAAACGTATACAGCATATACAAGGCAAATGCCAATCATTTTAGAAATTAATTATATACAATATTACCTTTACTTGATCATGAAAGGCCTCTTTCAAAGCTTGACATACTTCAAACACGATGGACGATATTAGTTGTGGCGAAATTCTAAATAAATAGCTCAAACTTCGGAAACTGTCGCCTGACGCCAAGAATCTCAATGTTACTGCTAGTCTCTCTTTGGTTGATACAGGTTTTCTGAAATGAGTGCTTTGTTTAGCAATTTGGGGTCCTATCAAATTGAGAAGAAATTCAAAATCCTCTGCCGACATTCTACAAAAATTCTCGAATTTCCCACTCCTCTTCACATCATTGAGCAATACAGTTTCACTATGTCTAGAATAAAAAATGTTGTTAATGAAGTAATTTGGTCTTACCGTGATTGAGAAATTTCTTATTTCAAAACTTGCAATACTGATTTTATTAACTAACCTATTGAATAGTGGTTTGATCCACCATCTCCGCTTTCTTCTTTTCATTTTTTTCTTTGCAATTAAAATATATATTGCACTCGCAATTGCAACGTCACTATCATCGCTATCGCTCATGATCGAAACTTATTACGCAAAAATGTACTCTGGATAATAAAAGTAAATGTTCTTTCCTCGGTGTCTTCTTTTATTTGCATACAGATTGCCGAATCATAAACGAATCGAAATCGCGAATAACAAATGATAAACCATGAATGCGAACGATACGAATCTGTACGAATGGCGAACCGCGACATTGGCGAACGATACGAATCTATACGAATCTTCGACGCCAGACTATGCGCGATTCGTGATTCATACGAATCTTTACGAATGGCGAACCGCGAATCACGAATCACGAATCGCGCATAGTCTGGCCCCACCTTAAGAGTTCTTTCAGTTGGCAAATATAGGATTTTTCTTAAGTATCGATATGCCTTTGGCGAAAGGTAGCAAATTGATAGTGCGATATTTTTTACAGTATCGTCGTATCTCCTTTGAAATTTCCCTATATTTGCCAACTTTAACTGAGTTATAAATAGAGCATGAGTTTCTTTCGACAGAAATGGTTGAGATCTCTTAATTAACGATTCTATTATCCTGTTCTTGATAGCTTTTATGGGTTTTTTCTTTCTACTGTCTTTAAGGCGATTAATTCTACTGCGCAATACAGCTATAATTTTCTTTTGCTTATCAATAATCGCGGAACATTTCGACAGCTTTTCCTTGGCTAAAATCTCACAGTTAACTTGAATATCTGATGCTCCATTTAGAGTTGAAGTGGATTCTGGGTCCGCAGTTGTACGATTCGTTGGAAACGTAAACGCATCAGGAGCATATGTGTTTCGGGCAGAAAAGACACTGAAGACGGCGTATTCGACGTTGGAGTTTCTAAGGTGTCTTGATTTTAAAAGGAATAAAAGGAATGTGAGGTCTTTAAAGGAATAAAAGGAATGTGAAAAATATTAGGAGGAAAATTCAAAAGAGAATGTCAATATGCAAATGGTGTAAACATTTATTTATTAAAATAGCATTTCTGGTTACGATTATTACTTGCATATGACAATTCATATGATTATTAAGTCAATAAACGTAAACAAAAATAATACGTTTATTTATAGTCAATAAAATTATGAATAAATTAATTACTTAAAAGACTCCTGGGTACTCGCCGCGGCCATGTTAGGTCATGACATCAAAGGCGAGACATGACACGTTGAGAATTCTTGCGTGCTATTTTCAAATAAAAAAAATATTTGGATGGCGAGTATGTGTGTGTACCCAGGAACCTTAATGAATAATATATAATGCTATTAATGCTACCACAATTGCTATCATGTTCTTACCTGACAGTAAAATTTGAACGTTTTTGTCAATGTAGGTATGGATGATTTACGACCATTATCAGATCGGAGCGCAAGTATACGATGACCCGTTTGCTTCTCCACATAAGCTTTATATTTTTTAAACGTATCCAACGCTTCACTTTTATACTTCAAGAAATAGATACTCAATCTTCTAGAGTAGTCATCTATAAATAGAATAAAATATTTTGCTCCACCTATCGACGTAGTCTCCATTGGCCCGTATATATCGGTGTGAACCAACTGTAAAAGTTTCGTTGTTCTCTCTTTCTTGATATTGGTTGAAAACGGTTGTCGTGCTGCTTGCTTTCCTTTTACGCATACTTCGCACAGTCCCTCACTCGGATCTTCAAAGCTTAAGCCGTCAGCGTGTTTATCGCGCAACAGTTTCATACTAAACCTATTTAAATGGCCTAATCTTCTATGCCATACGAATTTGTATTTACTTTACAACC